AAAAAAAAAAAAAAAAAAAAATTCTGATATACTTTGTGATTCTTAAGTTTGGAAAACAGGGTAACCTCTAGTATGGGCTGTGAGGCATTCCTCTGCTCAAGCAGCTACAGATGTGAACCCTGAATATAAAGGGATCTTAGGCTAGAAAGGATCTTGGGCAGAGCTGAATGACTCTAAGCATTTGACCTCACTTTGGTTTCCTACTGAAAAGAGTCAACAGAGTCCGCATCTTCTTCCAAGGTCAGCAAAGGGCAGAGATTTGAAATTAGGCATCACTGGGTTCTCAGCTGGGCCTCCAAGGTCCCCTCCTCCCACTATGCAGAGCAAAGAGGAGGCTGCAGAAGAGAAGAGGATATAAGATTGGTTCTCTGCTCCTCCCTTTCTTTCCCTGCTTTCCCCACACCCACCCTCTCCCCCACAGCAGCCTTCTCCCCCACAGAGGCTGGGAAAGGATGAGGGGGGCGGAGTTGGGGACTGAGGGATCAGAAGTCCCACGATGCCCTGTATCTGAAGAAAGCTTTGGCCAGGGGCAGCTGTGCTGGCTCATGCTCTCCTCCTCCTGCTGCTGCCATCCTCCAGCAAGATGCTAGGGTCTCTGGGGCTTTGGGCATTACTTCCCACAGCTGTGGAAGGTAAGCGTCGACAGGGAGGGGCAGGGTCTTTCCATCCACCCAGCGAGGGAAAGGGGTGCTTGAAGGAACAGCCACCCCTTTGGAAGAGTGGTGAGTGGGCTGGGTGAGTGAAGATGAAGGATAGAGCCATGTGTCCCCATGGCAGGGCTCAGGTTCCAGGCCTCTGCTGACCCTGGTTCCTCCTGTGGCTTTACCATACTGACGCTGGGATGTGAAACATGTTTTGTCTGTTCTTTTGGCCACTTTTCGGCCTCTGCATTCACTCCCATCTTGAATCCTTTCCTTTCCCCACCTGGGCCTCAGCACCCCCAAACAGGCGAACCTGTGTGTTCTTTGAGTCCCCCGGAGTGCGGGGAAGCACAAAGACATTGGGAGAGTTGCTAGATGCAGACCCAGAGCTCCCCAGAGCTATCCGCTGCCTCTACAGCCGCTGCTGCTTTGGGATCTGGAACCTGACCCAAGACCGGGCACAGGTGGAAATGCAAGGTGAATGGCAAAGTATATGCTAGGTGATAGCTAGGGTGGGGGACAGACACATCCTGGGGTGTGGGTGGCAGCCAAGGGGGAAGGGGAGAAATAGAATATGTGGTGGGAAAGAAAAGCCCATGAGAGATGGAAGGGATGCCTCCGACAGAGAAGGGATTTATCCTCTGTTTCCACACCCCTTTGTGCTTTCTTCCTTGCTCCTTCTTTCTCTCCTCTTCCCCTAATCCCACCCCATCAGGATGCCGAGACAGTGATGAGCCAGGCTGTGAGTCCCTCCACTGTGACCCAAGTCCCCGAGCCCACCCCAGCCCTGGCTCCACTCTCTTCACCTGCTCCTGTGGCACTGACTTCTGCAATGCCAATTACAGTCATCTGCCTCCTCCAGGGAGCCCTGGGACTCCTGACTCCCAGGGTCCCCAGGTCACCCCAGGTAGCCACCCAAGGGTACCGGAACCTGGTGGGGGCTGGGGCCCAGGTTAGGATGAGAGGTGGAACCAGTGCTAGTTCTCACCCTACTCCCACCCCATACTATCCTCCTCCTGGCCTTGGGAAGTTGGTTGCCCTGGTGACTGGGAGATAAGGGGTCTTGTGACCAGGGTGGGGGTGGGTTGAGAAGCAAACTCTCAGGAGGGGAAGAGCAGAGAGCAGGTTTGGGTCAGGGTTCGCCAGCCTGCATTCTTGCCTTGATGTCCAGGTGAGTCCATCTGGATGGCACTGGTGCTGCTGGGGCTGTTCCTCCTCCTCCTGCTGCTGGTGGGCAGCATCATCTTGGGTACTAATCCACCCCATCCCTCCCTTGTGACCCCAGATTGCCCCAAAGCTCTGACCCCTCTCCAGGCACCCATGGTCTTGGGATCTCTATAGCCTGATTCCCAGACTCCCATTACCTCTCACAAAGCTGCCTTTCCACAAAGTCCCCTTTCCTGTCCCCATGCATGCGCACCCTGACCCTAAGGCTTTTCTCTGTTCCAGCCCTGCTACAGCGAAAGACTTACAGAGTGAGAGGTGAGCCAGAGCCAGAGCCAGGGCCAGACTCAGGCAGGGACTGGAGTGTGGAGCTGCAGGAGCTGCCCGAGCTGTGCTTCTCCCAGGTGCCCAGGGAGGGAGAGAAGGGCTCCTCTGGGCACTCCTGGAGGTTGTGCTGGGGAGGAAGCCTTGCCCTGGTATAGCTCAGAGGCCCACACTCAGCACAGTGTCCCTACCAGGTAATCCGGGAAGGAGGTCATGCAGTGGTTTGGGCCGGGCAGCTGCAAGGCAAACTGGTTGCCATCAAGGCCTTCCCACCGAGGTCTCTGGCTCAGTTCCAAGCTGAGAGAGCATTGTACGAACTGCCAGGCCTACGGCACGACCACATTGTCCGATTTATCACCGCCAGCCGCGGGGGCCCTGGCCCCCTGCTCTCTGGGCCGCTGCTAATACTGGAACTGCATCCCAAGGTGAGCATCAAGGAATGTATATGTGTGTGTATGCCTGTATGGAAGTGGGGGCTACACAGCAGCTGGGTCCTGTTCACGCTTCTGCTTTAGATTTTCTCTTTTCCAAAACATTAAAAATGGCCACGCGAGATAGCCCACACCTGTAATCCCAGGACTTTGGGAGGTCAAGGTGGGTGGATCACTTAAACCCAGGAGCTCAAGACCAGCCTGGGCAACATGAGGAAACCCCATCACTGCAAAATTACAAAAATTAGCTCAGCATGGCATTGCATACCTGTAGTCCCAGCTACTCAGGAGGCTGAGGTGGGAGAATTGCTTGACCCTGGGAGGTTGAGGCTGTGTGAGCCGTGAGCATGCCACTGCACTCCAGCATGGAAGAGCAAGATCATGCTCGCTTTGGCAGCATGTATACTAAAATTGGAACAATACAGAGAAGATTAGCATGGCCCCTGTGCAAGGATGACACGCAAATTCGTGAAGTGTTCCATACATAAATAAAAAAAAAAAAAACAGAGCAAGACCATCTCAAAAAATAATAATAGGGGCCGGGTGCTGTGGCTCATACTGGTAATCCCAGCACTTTGGGAGGCCGAGGTAGGCAGATTGCTTGAACCCAGGAATTCAAGAACAGCCTAGGCAACACTGTGAAATCCCACCTATACAAAAAACAAAAAATTGTCTGGGCATGGTGACACATGCCTGTGGTCCCAGCTATTCAGGAGGCCGAGATGGGAAGAGCACCTGAGCCTGGGGAGGTCAAGGCTGGCAGTATGCTGAGATTGTGCCACTGCACTCCAGCCTAGGTGACAGAGTAAGACCCTATCTCAATAATAATAATATTTTTTATTATTTTTTCTTTTTTATTACATAAACAATACATGTTTGTGTGTGTGTGTGTGTGTGTGTGTATTTTTTTTTTCTTTTTTTTGAGACGAAGTCTTGCTCTGTTGCCCAGGCTGGAGTGCAATGGCACGAGTTCAGCTCACTGCAACCTCTGCCTCCTGGGTTCAAGTGATTCTTCTGCCTCAGCCTCCCCAGTAGCTGGGAGTAAAAGCGTTCAACACCTTGCCTGGCTAATTTTTGAATTTTTACTAGAGACAGGGTTTCACCGTGTTGCCCAGGCTGGTGTCGAACTCCTGACCTCAGGTGATCTGCCCTCCTTGACCTCCCAAAGTGCTGGGATTACAGGCATGAGCCACTGTGCCCAGTCAAAAAACCCCCAAAAGACAAACAAAAAACCCCAACATTGTTAAAGAAATACCTCCAGGCACAGCCCTCCAAACTCATTCACATATTAATTCAACAAATAATTATGAACTATATGTCAGGCACTATGCTAAAGGCCAGGAAAAACACGGTCCCTGCCTTTACAAATCTTGCAGACTAACGGAGGAGACAGAAATGGATCAAGTAAACACAATGTCAAATGTCAAGTGTGCTAAGTGCTAGAAGGCAGCACCACTGAACTATAAGAAAGAATAATAAGACGTGACTTGACGGGGAGCGCAATGAACAATAAGAAGAAGTAACGGCAGGCAGAGGCCAGCCACACCAGGGCCTATGGGCCTGCTAAAGATTTGGGACTCGGGCCGGGCGCGGTGGCTCAAGCCTGTAATCCCAGCACTTTGGGAGGCCGAGGAGGGTGGATCACGAGGTCAAGAGATCGAGACCATCCTGGTCAACATGGTGAAACCCCGTCTCTACTAAAACTACAAAAAATTAGCTGGGCATGGTGGCGCGTGCCTGTAATCCCAGCTAC